TAGAGAGGTAGAAAAAGAAGGGTCTTTCGTGATAAGAATATTTTGAAAATGAGTTTGTCCATGTTTGCCATACAAAATATGTTTAAATTTAGTTATGATATTCAATTTGGGCACATATGGCCTATATTTCATGTGATACGTATATGAGCTATATTTGGTGGCAAATATTTGACTTATTTGAAAATGTGACCTGCATTATATTATGGGCATACCAGTATGAACTATGTGAATCGTATCACTTTCATCATGAGACCAGTATTGATGTTAATTTTAATTTGCAGAAATAATGTACTTGCATGTATGTTTGTTGAATAGATCTCAATCATTGTGAGCGTTGATAGACTGCGATTACAATTATATGAACCTTGTAGCTATAGTTATGACGGAGTTTGATCTAAATCTTACAAAGGTAGCAGTCTCATTGAAGTATGTGTCGAATGATGATTTGCCACCAATCAAGATAAAAAAATGATAATAATGTCCTACCATACATTCTGCTAAAGGATATGGAACGTGAACCTACTAAATACCCATTAATTACCGATGTTATGGATGCAGAAATTGATAATACATCTATCACAATATCAATTAATGCACGTTCTAGTGGTGAGCTGTATACGTTGCAGGGACATGACATCAGACATATATGAAGCATCAATTAAAATAATGGGCGGTCGCAGATGCTAGAGAGGTAGAAAAAGAAGGGTCTTTCGTGATAAGAATATTTTGAAAATGAGTTTGTCCATGTTTGCCATACAAAATATGTTTAAATTTATGGTTGAAAAACCCGATAACAAAGAATATGTTGTGAGGTGTTCACATGGTGAATATAGTTGGATATATATATCGTCGAAAATGGGATCAATAGATTCGAAATATTGTAGTCATACGTGTCCATCAAATATATTGTTGGATCACATGGGCAAGTATTAACTATAGTGGTGTCATCTACCATTAAATATAAGTACACATTGTCCTTTACTATATATACTCTGAATGATATGTTCAGTGATATATTGCATACTTATGAGGTTTATTGGAATCATTCAAAAGCTTCGAGATCTCGGGAACAAACTTTGAAAATGATCGGGAGTGATCTAGTCGATTCATTTGGTATGCTAAGCTTCTTCTACATACTTCGACAAAAGAATCCTGATACAGTTATAGAACTAGAGGTTGATAGTCACAATAAGTTCCAATATCGCTTTATGGCACTTGGTGCAATGATACAGGGATGAGAGCATTGTAGACATGTGGTTGTGATTGATGGTACTTGCTTGAATAGTCATCAATACACGTTTCTGTCATTAGCTTAAGGTTGTCTAAATGGTGGTTAGAACACCCATAGTCACCGAGGGTGTGATCTTACCTAAAAATGTCTTTTGGTATTTTGAATTGCTAGACCTACACTTAGTATGGACACAATGTTAAACACTTGTATTAATAATCACACGCAGAGAAAAATGTTACACACTGTTTAAAATCAGATCACATAATTATGAGCATAAACATAGATTAGGTTTAGCACACTGTTACACACTGCTTAACATTGTCATAGACATAGATAAGGTTTTGCACTGAAATCACATATTCATAAAATCTTGGTCACATAGTGACTCTTCATCTTTTCGGCACACATCATTCATAAAATATAAAAATGGTCATATATGGACTCTATACTTACAATGCATATCATTGTTGAAAATAAAATGAGGACGAAGACACAGGATGAAGTTATGTACCGAAGCCGCATATTCATAAAAACTTTGGTCACATTCAGATGGTATAATCACATATAGATTATGTATAGTCACATATAGACTGTGCATGCTTAGAACACACCATCGGCTATGTTCACAATCAAGTCACAGACATACATACTATTTATGCATTCAAGCCACAGATTCATAACACATTTACACATCATGGTCACATAGAGACTATATATGATAACATATAGACTGTGTATGTTTAGAACACATCATCGTCTATGTTCACAATCAAGTCACAGGCATACACACTATTATGCATTCAAGCCATATATTCATAACACATTCACACATCATGGTCACATCTAGCCTGTTTCAAAAAACATTCGCACATCATGGTCACGTATTCATAACACATTAAAAAAACAAGGGACTCGTAGCACATTCCAAAACACATATTCGTAACACATTCAAAAACCAAAAACCCCAACCCATTTCAGTTAGGTCACAGGTATACGTAATGTTATGCAGTCAGGTCACAGATTCATAACAATCTCGATCACATTCACACATCAAGGTCACATCATACGTAAAAAATTTCTTACTTTTTAACCACATATCCAAAAAGTCACTATTACAAAAATTATTTTCTCAAACAAATTTGGGGCTCAAATAAGTCCTAGCTATTGTTTGATCCTTCATTATTTTTCAAAATGGGTAATTAGCACAAAGCATCTTTATCTTTCAATTTTTGACATTTTTATCCCCATTTTCACCATTCATTGCTAAAAAAGGTCCTTTCATCCAATTTCTCAATAAAAAATAAAAATGACAAATATGTCCTCATATTTAAACAAAACAAAAAATAAAAAATAAATTTTGCTAAACATCACCTTTTATTTTTTGACATTTTCACCATTTTTTAGCATTTCATTGGGAAAGTCATCATTTTCATTAATTTTTCAATTAAAAGCTATAAAATGACAAATATATCCTCATATTTAAATTAAAAAAACAAAGAAAAGAAAAATAAAGAGCAAATTAAAACTATACTCCCAAATTTTTCAAAAAAGAAAAAAAAATTACTTACTTTTCTAATTATTTATTTGGAACTTATTTTTATTTTTTTAAAAAAAATTTTGCCGATATAATTGCAATTTGTTCTTTATTTTTCTTTTCTTTATTTTCGTTTTATTTAAATAAGAGGGTATATTCGTTAGGAGTGGGTGCAATCCGGTTCCAAAGGAAACTGAATCGAATCTAATACCAATGAGAATTTTAGAAATGGAACAATTGGTTCCATAGTTAGCTATGGAACCGAACTAATCAGTTCCGATTCGGTTCAGTTGGTTCTTTAAATTGAAAATGTCAAAATAAAATGTTAACTAATAAAAACTCTAAAAATGCTACCAACGTGATACTTTTAACAAAATATAGAAAAATCGAACATACTATTCAAATATTTATTTAGGTATAGATTTACAAAGTAAAAACAAAATAAAAATTTCTCATCTTATAAATGAAATTATATATTGTATATAAATTTATTTAGGTATAGATTTACCCAATATTCTAATTTGGTTGGAGAATTAATTAATCAAAGGATTATAAGAAGAGACAATGAAAGAATAAAAGAGAAGGGGGAAAGTGTTGAAATTTAAAATTAAGAAGGAACCCGATTATTTTTGATAAAAGTGTTAGAGATTAAGTCATATATTTTACCCATATAAAAAAAGAAATAATCCAACGAGAATTGTTTGGTTCCTACGGTTCCCATACTAGAATTGGGAGCCGGACCGGAATCGGTCGGTTCTTAAAACTTTGTCCCGATATCAAATTATTTTTTAGAAGATTCGGAATCGAATCGGCCGGTTTTAAACGGTTCCGGTCCGGTTTCGCCAATTCTGGAAAAAAGTGCCCAATCCTAATATTCGTTATTTTAAAGTTTTTTAATGAGAAAATAGATGAAAATAATAATTTTTGCAAATAAGGGTGAAAATGTAAAAAAATGAAAAGTAAGGACGTTTTGTTCTAATTATCATTTTAATTATTTATTCGTATTCATTTGCATTTTTTAAAAAGTTTGTGAGTGTAATTACAATTCTTTAATTTTTCTTTTCCTTTTTTTTTTGTTTAAATAGGAGGGTATATTTGTCATTTTACATTTTTTATTAAAAAATTGGATGGAAATGATATTTTCCGTAATGAAATGTGAATACAGGGATGAAAATGCCAAAAAATAAAATGCAAGAACTTTTTGCACAATACCATTAAAATATAAGGACGTTTTGTGTGAATTATCCCTTTCAAAATACAATTTTCTCTATCTTACTTTCAACCACACATATTTCAATAAAATAATATTACAAGTAAACTCATTAATTTTTTTTATTTTTTAATCACACATTTTCATCAATTTACTATTTTAAAATGTATTCTTAAAAATAATAGGGCTCAAACAGGCTCCTAAATTTATTTAGTCCTTGTTTGAGCCATATTATTTTCATAAAAATGTATTTTTGAATAAAATGTGTGGTTAAAAAATAAATAGAAGTTTTAAATTTATGTATAATATTATTTTATTGAATAATATATGATTGAAATGATGTTAAATTACTGTTTAAGAATGTATTTTTTGAAATAATGTGGATCAAACAAGGCATTATTCTAAAAGTTTGTTTGGTACAACTAAAAAACTAATTAAAATATATTTTTTGACCGTTATTTAATTATTACAGTAGTCCCTTTTGAACTGTTCTCTTACAAATAAGATCAATTTTATTTTTAACGATCAAAAAATCAACTATTAAAATTCCTACCAAATAAACACTAAGAATCTAATTTTCACTCAATAAAACAAATGAAGTAATGTTTGACATCTTTTTTTTTTTTAATTTTTTAATCATGACATATGAATTTTTTTTTTTTTTTTTTACTCATATTTGCAGTGGCACCCATTCATCCAAAAGAAACCGCGAAAAAAAAACTAGCTAACTAGGCCATCTCAAAGCGATATATATCTCCTCCAAGTTCTTCTCCTCCAATTCTCCACAGTTTAAACAATAAACGTCATTTTAAAAGAGCGCGGGCTCTGTTGAAATTGGAGATGAAAGGACGGGAACCGTAGAGAAAAAAAAGTCAGGCTCATCCTGTCCCTACGCGTTTTCCATCGGACGCGTTCATCAAGGACGGATCTCAAAATCACAGTATACCTAACAGACACGTGTCCCGACATAAGAGGATGTCTGGTGGGCCCTACCTTTAGATATAAAAAAGGCCAGAGAGGTCGATTTCACCCCTATCCGTATTTCCGCCATTTTCTCGTTCCTTCCAAATCTCGAAACGGTTCCTTATAAACTAGTATTTCTTCATTATTAATTCAGTACTGTGAATCGACGTTTTCAGTTGTGTTTGTTGCCGCTTTCTTCGTTTAATCAAAACAAGAAAAATTTCTATCCGCCAAAACCCTAACGTTTTTCCATTTTTTTCTTTTTCCTTTTTTGTTGTTATTTTCCAAATCGTAGATCTCTCTTGTTTTGTATAAACATGCATGTTTTATGAAAATTATCGACATTTATATAGGTGTTATGGTATAGACGTAATTTGGAAGGCGGTTTCTTTGCTGGTATTCAGATCTGTGGAGTATTATCAGATTGAAGATTGGTTTAATTTCTATATGTGGTTTCTTGAATTGAAGGATAGGTTAATTGAATATTAGTTCGTAGTCCGTATTTGAATTCAATTTGAAATTTGAAAAACAGTTCGGACGTTTGGGAGTTGAGTCTGTTTGAAGTTTCGAATTCTCCAGGCCTTGCCGTGGATAAAGGAAGTTGTTGGAGTCTGCTATTCAGGTACTCAATTTTGTTTAAAATTTTTTGTAGTGGGATTTTCGGGCTCTCTCGGTGATTGTTGGAGTCAATTGGAAGCTGGTGTTCGATAAATATTTCCCAGATAATCACGGAGTTGAGTGACTTTATGGTATCAGCATGACTGCATCTGTATTTGAATGCTGTGGTCTTCTGTAGATGTACGTGGTTTGACATTAATTCTGCATTAGTAGAGGAGGTATATCTGGATGGGGGAAGGTGAAGGTGAAGTTTGCATGTCGGTCATGAACAATGGAATGATGGAGATTGACAAGCAACCGAGGCTCGAAGTGAAGCGCGACCAGCAGTGGATGATGGATGGTGGTGAAATAGAACCTTATGCCAAGAGGCAGGCAACGGAATCTTGCACTGAAAGAAAGGCAAGCGAAGTCTTACATAAATCTGAGCTAGAACCTTTTACCGAAAGCCAGACTATGGAAGTTATGAACAATTCTAAGTTAGGACATTCTGAAGGCGAGACAAGAGAAGTTTTGAATGATACTGAAAAAGAACCTTGGGCCGAAAGCCAATCAGAGGAAGTTCCAAATGATACAGAATCAAAATTATTGACTCGAACCCAAGAAAAAAGAATTATAAAAAGTAGCGAATTAGATTCTTGCGCTCAAGATCAGATGGGAGGAGTTTTGAACAGTAGGGACTTAGAGCCCTTCACTGAAAGTGAAAAAAATGAAGCTTTGAATGAACATCGTGAACAAAGGCTGTCAAAAGAAGTGTTAAATGATGTTAAACTAGAGTTGAAGGAAGCAACAAATGACCTTGAAGTGGAACATTCTGCTGAGAATCATGTTTTGGTAGCACTGGAATATGGTGACTTGGAGCCTTTTTCTGCTGAAAATATGGTGCAAGACGCACCAAATGATGTTGAATTGGAGCCTTGTGCTAATAATCAGGTGAAAGAGGCATCCAATGATGATATTTTATCGGAAGTTTCAAATCCAGTTGTGTCTCCCAAAGACATTACTTCAAATGTCACAGCTAGTAGCCAAGCAGTTGAAATGGTTGGGAAAGACCATGTTGGTTCTGGAGAGATCTTATCTACATGTTCTCGAAACTCGAGTGATGGAAGTTTGTGTGTGGAAGAGCACAACAGAAATGACACATCAGAATCAGCTTCCATTTCCCGTGTTGTGATTGAAATTCCGAAGGATGTTAGCACGGCTGGTATCAGGAAGATCACATTTAAGTTTAGAAAACCCAAGGAGGACTCTAATAGTTACATATCTGTTCCTGCTGCTGAGCCTGTGACTAATAACGAATATCCTAGTCACTATATTGACAATCCTTTATGCTGTCCTCCCGATCAGGCGATACCTAGCAATGATGTTGAGTGTAAGAATGCGAGGAATGCTTTTGATGTCGCTGATATAAACAGAGAAATGAATTTATGCACAGATGTGAATGATTTTTATGAAACACAAAGTCCTTTCCCTTGTGTACCCCACAAGGAATTAAAGATGTCTAAGAAGGTAATTCCGGAGAATTACCCAACAAATGTTAAAAAGCTTCTGTCCACTAGAATTCTGGAAGGGGCAAAAGTGAAATACATTTCGATTTCTAGGGAGGTATGTTGTATCCTGCACCTTTTCTTCAAGATACAAATTTAGCTGCTTTTTGGTAATTATTTTTTGTTGTTGATTACCAGAGAGAGACTCCAGGAATCATTAAAGATGATGGTTATTTGTGTGGTTGTTCAATTTGCAACTTCTCTAAAGTAAGCTGCCCCTGCTATTAAACTTGATTACTTCGGTCAGGTGTTTGTATAATTTAGTGTTACTGAAGGAATGAAATGTATAAACAGGTGGTTAGTGCCTATGAGTTCGAACTGCATGCAGGTAGCAAGACTAGACATCCAAATAATAACATATATCTGGAGAATGGGAAGCCTATTTACAGTATAATTCAAGAACTGAAGGCTGCACCTCTCAGCATACTCGACGATGTAATAAAAGATGTGGCAGGTTCTTCCATCAATGAGGAGTACTTCCAAGTTTGGAAAGGTTATTCCCAAATCAACGTTATATTCAGCTTCACTTTTATATTCTTTTGGGCATTTATTGTGAACAAGTCTTAGTTTGTTGTGTAGGTTTTAGGGAATTGAAGGTGGTTGGATATAGGAAAAGGTCTTTTCGCATAATTGAAATAACACATGTCCAAAGCTTATCATGATAAGTTGGTATTTCTGCTAGGCAGTAATTGAGGGAGGAATTTAAGGATCAAAATGCTGGCTGGCTGGCTAAAAAAATTGAGAGATTGGATGCAAAATTCTAGCTATTCATGGCAATTCTATGAAAACATTGTTGTATCATAGAAGTATTTTTATGATGATTACCATGTTTGCAATTGATAAGGTGTTTTGGTGGTAAGTTATATGCCCATCATGTTTGTGTATACACATCTGTCTCAGCATGAAATTTCAAATTTTAGCCCGTTTGAGGACCATTATTTTCAAACTCTTTTTTCTACGCTTATTTTCAACCACACATTCACACAATAAAATATTTTTCACGTAAACCCAAAAATTTCCCTACATTTTAACCACACATCCTCCTACTAGTCACTATTAAAAACTCTATTTTCTGCAGATAACGTTTGGGCTTAATTATATCAATCATTTATTTAAAAGTTTAGAGCAAGATAATAATTTAGAAACTAAGATCAGCGGGACTAATTCTTTGAAATAGCTCGCTGTGTTAACAAAGACTAGAAGAGTCAAAGTGCAGACCAAATTTCTAATTGTGCAATGGAAAACGCAGCACAATTGCAAACTTTTGTGTTGTACGGGCAGAACACAGTGAAATCTCTCTTGAAGTTCCTGGAACTTGAGGCAGTTTCTTAACGGTCACTCCATGTGGCTATTTAAGTGAGCAAATTAGTATGCTTCTGATAACAACCCAGTTTTGAGTCCCTTGGATACCCCCTGCCTGTGTGGGGTAGCTCAAGCCTGGTAAGGAATTCAAGAAATGGTCAATCATCGAATCGGAGAAGGTTTTGAACCCTCTTTTGTATATGACACCTTAATGGATCCGAACAATCTACATTTTGTGGATTATTCCAATGTTTTAAAAGTTCCTGAAAAGAGAGCCGTTTTAACTTTGTTAGATCCACTTGAATAATATTATAAATGTGTACCATGTTACAAGCTTTGCTTGTTTCTATTCCTGTTACACACATTGTATGGACTTCCAATGAATATAGTCAAAGGTGTTTTCATGGGGATAAGTTTGAGAATGGATGCAAATATTTTTCCCAAGTGGAAAATCGTGTTTCAATTTTATAAACGATAAATAGTGTCTTGCAAGTCACTTCCTTACTGGACCTTGCTGCCTTAATTCCCTTGTGGGAGTTTGGGCGAGGAGGAGAGGATATATGGGAGAAAAACATATTTTGTCATGTTTACGTTGTACTCATTCTAATGTTCTCTTCGTTGTTGCAGCAAATCTTCTATGCGACAATGAACTTGTTTATGCCGATAAAATTCATCATAGCAATCCTTTGGGCACATATCCCTCCACCATCGGGTACGATTTTTATACACAATATCTTATTGAATTATTCCAACAATCCCCTCCCCCACTTCCCTTTCCAAAGCCGCTTCCATTCATGGGGATTGAATTGAATAGGGAAAAAAGGAAAAGACAATGAAAAGAAACAGAAGAAGCAATCTGCTTCAGCGAGTATTTCATATATGAGCAGTGTAGAACATACTAAATCAGTATTGTTGCTTGAAATGAGGACTTGAACTTCTGTAGTTTGTTTAATTCTGGTCATTTGAAATCCATAGATGCGTGGACTGTGTGTGGAGATTACTTTGTGCAACTTGGTGGACTTAATACATGGCAAAGTACTATATTGTCAACTGATGTTTCTATATGTTTTCTTCTTGTCAGCTTCTGCTATTGATAACTACAATTCAACTTGTTTTTATATTGTACTAAATCAGTATTGTTGCTTGAAATGAGGACTTGAACTTCTGTAGTTTGTTTAATTCTGGTCATTTGAAATCCATAGATGCGTGGACTGTGTGTGGAGATTACTTTGTGCAACTTGGTGGACTTAATACATGGCAAAGTACTATATTGTCAACTGATGTTTCTATATGTTTTCTTCTTGTCAGCTTCTGCTATTGATAACTACAATTCAACTTGTTTTTATATTGTTGGCAATATAAATTAATCTGCACCCTTGCTGGTATCAATCATGTGCAGTGCTGAAAGTGCATGTATATTCAATCTGAAATGCTCATGTAACACAATTGATGTGTAAATCCTAGGCATTTTGCATAATTACCTAGGTTTTTTCTCCTGATAATCTTTTAGCATTATCTTCAAATTCTAGTTACTGGGCTAATTCATTTTGTGCGCTTGGAAATAGAAATTGTTGTGTAGCTTATGGCACGTTGTGCCCTTTTAAGCTCTTTTGATTTTTGCTTAACCACGGAAAGCATGTTTCTTATTGCTTATTTTAAGTGTGTGGTGCTTTCAATTAGACTGCTAAGTTTGGCATGGAGTATTTATGGCCGTTTCTTGGCATATTGAGGTATTAAATGGATATTTTGGATCTTGCGATTTTGAGAATTATTTTGTTGGTGATTGAAGTTTCTAAACAGTAACTAATTTGTTGTAATGGAACTTTTGATTTATCATTGACTTCTTCACTTTGTTTTCATGATCTTGCAGCTATCTAAGGCAGACTATTGAAGACAGTGCAACTCCTGCTTCATGTTCTTATTCTCACAACCCGGCCTTAAATCAGCGGAGCTACGTAGAGGCACCAGCAGTGCGGAAGCGCTTGATCAAAAAGTTTGCTCTCTTTCTCTCTTCTCCCCTCCCCCCTCCAAATCCGAAAAATAGGAATAAAAAACAAAAATTAGAAAAATTATGGTCTTGGTTCCTAATATGCTGTTGTTTTACAGGCCTAGACACTATTTTTCTGGCTCAGTTGGAGAACATAAGAGATCTTCCGAAGGTGGCACGAAAAAAAGGCAAGCTTACCATCATTGTTTTATCTTTCTTCTCATCTTGTATAGAACACTCCCTTTTTTATTTTGTTTAGGCATTCGTAAATTTTGCTTCTCGTACCTTTTAGTTATTGGCACTATGTATGACAGGGATAATGATTTACATCGATTGCTTTTTATGCCTAATGGACTTCCTGATGGGACTGATTTGGCTTATTACTCAAAAGGAAAGGTTGTTTCTCCTTCTCTGCACAATTGATATATTCTTAATTGTTTATTGGTTGCGGTGTGGATAAATTTGGCAAATCTTTGAACAGAGGATTCTTGGTGGTTACAAGCAAGGGAATGGTATAGTCTGTAGTTGTTGTAACACAGAGGTAATTTCTCATAGCATCATGTTAAAATCTTCCCCTTCATGTATGGTACTAAGTCAAGCAACAACGTACCTTCTTCGTTGTGTCTCCTCCCTTCTGCCATCTGATTTATTCTATTTTTCTCTTTTGGCTACAGATTAGTCCCTCCCAGTTCGAGGCTCATGCTGGATGGGCAGCAAAGCGTCAACCGTAAATAATTTTCTTTGAGACTAAATTGTTCCTTGTATTTTAGGTTTTACACGCAGCATTCTAAGTTTTCTACCCTTTTACAGATATCGTCACATTTATACATCCAGTGGCTTGACACTTCATGATATAGCTTTAATGTTGGCAAACGGTCAAAATCTTGCTACCGGTAGCAGCGATGATATGTGTGCCATATGTGGGGATGGAGGAGAACTTACAATATGTAATGGTTGTCCTCGGGCTTTTCATGCAGGTATTTTCCTTTAATTAATTTTACTTTGCTTTAGTTTTGGGGTTAAATCAAGCTTTCTTTGTATGTTTTACAATCTTCCATTTTAAAGCATGTTCTGGAAGTGTTTATAAATGATTTAAATTATAAATAGATAGAGATGAGGTGATAAGTGGAAGTACATGTGGGTCCCTTGAAATGTGTGGTTAAATAGTGGATTAAGTGTTATAGACTGTTTATAAACATGATCCAAATTTAGGCTTATTTTAATATGTAAACTCACCAATAAACAACCCACTTTGGTGGTCAATATGTTGGAAGACGATTTACATAATATACACATGGCTCTTTCTAACAACTCAGTCTTTCTCAGGCTCCAAGTCTGCGTTAGTGCTAAAACCAGTTAAAAACTTTTGAATCGAATGACGTATTTTGAGATGGTCTATTGGTGATCATTCTCTTGTATAGTCACTGGTCACTAATAATTATGCTCCTCATATTATTGATTTAAGGCCAAAATGTATAGGGAACCATAGGATCAGTAATTTTTTTCTGGTTTACTTTGAACTTTGAAGGGAAAGATGGGTGTTCATAGTTCATGTAGATGTAGACTAGCTTGAAAAAGGTCAGTCACTATTGTGCTCTGTTGTTGGTACAATTCAATTCCACCAAGACTAGTTTCCAATTGTTACATAGCATTCCATCTCTTTATTTCATATTACAACAGAAATTAGAGTTTTCTACCTACTGTTGCAGCAAATAATCGTAATAGTTGATAAACATAGACATCTTACCAATAAATTGAATGGACACTCTTCTTGTATGGTGGACCTAATTTATGCTGTATAATATGTTTAGCTGTTATATTTTAGATGGAGATAAAGATAGAAGTTAGTTGGAATTTTAATATAGTTTTAATTCGAATTATAAGTAGTTAAATAAGATTAGGTTAGTTTTAATATTTCGATAAGGTTTTAGTTTATTTGAAGTTCGTTTGATTTTAGCTTTTTTAGTTTATTTACTCTAAAATTGATGGCTTATTCAATGTAATAGATACCCTTGATTATATGTTGAAACTATCTCTTGCCCTTAATTATTCTCTATGACCGTCTTTCTCATTATTGTTCTTCAGTTATTCTTTGTCAAATTAATATCCTCCTCTGTCAATTTCCGACCCAAAAGTAATGGATGATTACTCTCTCACGATCCTTCATGGTTGATATGCCCATCTTTTACCGATTGTGAAGGTTAATGCCTGCTGAAGTCGTATGATGTATACTTTCAAATAATAATATCAACACGCATTTTGACATCCTCGAAATATGTTTACACATAAGATGACTTCATGATTTTATTTCTTCTCTTCATTTTTGGTCTACATTTTTTTTTTTTTGGCTTAGGCCGGGGGATACACTTGCATCCCCTGTTATTTTTTCCCTTTCTTTGTTCTGGGTAGTCCACTGGTGGCATTTCACTGTGTTATAAAATGCTTTCTGGCGTGTGCTATTTTACGGCAGAATTTCTACTGCTACCATGCTACTATCATTAAAGCTCTAAATCATTTGGCTGTT